CAATGACCCCAAACACACCTCCAGGCTGTGTAAGGGCTATTTGACCAAGAAGGAGAGTGATGGAGTGCTGCGGCAGATGACCTGGCCTCCACAGTCACCGGACCTGAACCCAATCGAGATGGTTTGGGGTGAGCTGGACCGCAGAGTGAAGGCAAAGGGGCCAACAAGTGCTAAACACCTCTGGGAACTCCTTCAAGACTGTTGGAAAACCATTTCAGGTGACTACCTCTTGAAGCTCATCGAGAGAATGCCAAGAGTGTGCAAAGCAGTAATCAGAGCAAAGGGTGGCTATTTTGAAGAAACTAGAATATAAAACATGTTTTCAGTTATTTCACCTTTTTTTGTTAAGTACATAACTCCACATGTGTTCATTCATAGTTTTGATGCTTTCAGTGAGAATCTACCATGTTAAATAGTCATGAAAATAAAGAAAACGCATTGAATGAAAAGGTGTGTCCAAACTTTTGGCCTGTACTGTATATAAACTACTCGTCTATTTCAAGAGGTGTTACACGAAGATTATTTTACAGCGATAACGTATTGAACAGAGCACAGCAGATCTCAGCAGCATGCTCACCCATCACAAACAGGAAGTGAATAAAGTTGCAGCGAATATTTGCCCTTTCAGTGTAAGATGTTGTTTTTCAAAAATTATCTCTCTCAAAAAATATTTTCTCCTACACTGTTTATCGTATTGGCTTCAAACTCACACACATGACAGCTCTACCCCTGGTAAACAAAAATTTTGAATGACTTTGTCATTACTCGAACGGTTTGGATTTTAAAAGTGCTCAAAGGTGACATGAAACAAAACCTTATGACAATCTGCGGAAGAAAAGATGAGGGCCAACACATCTTTAACTTGCGACTAAGGTCACATTTTTGACTCCACAAACATAAAAACTATATGTCTGCGTTCGGGACGAGTGTAACTCTCTGCTGGTATGTTCAGATTAACCATTGGACCCACGGAACAGGAAGGACTAGTTCGAGAAATTTTAAACCCATCTTAAAGTGCTTGGGCTCTCACCTTGTCTCTCACTCAGCTACATGCAGTCATTAATTAGCATAACAATGGCTTCACTCTCACAGACACAAGCCTGTGTGTGTGTGTGTGGTTACAATCTTTAAAGGACAGATTACAGCAGCAGAATCTCCATTTGAAACAGCATCTACACATTATATATCAGTGTTTTCCATCTCCCACATACTACTTCAGCCTTTATTACTGATAATACTGTTGCTACTTTTGTGATTATGACTGTTAAATACATATACATACATATCACACTTGAGTGTCATAGACTGGGAATATCGTCCTGGTGTATCTGTAGCAGGTGATCTAATCAGAAGATGATGACGTGAAATTTCATCACAAACTGATTGTAAGAACAGGAGTATGTTCAGTTCTTTATATGTGTTGCTTTTCACCTACTCACACAGTGTGACTGTGAGTTGACAGACCCTCCCCTCATTGCTTGGCTGAGTCATGTGATGCATAATTAAAAGGTCAAAAGGGTCAAATCAACATCAACTTGAAGCTGATGGGGATTACATTAACAATCACGTAACCTGTAAAGTTTCTTTACTCTGGAGAGGTACCTGCTAGCAATGATGATAGCTCAGGTAGTGATGTTATTACTTCACCTGTCAGAATACCTAATGTTACCAGGCAGCATGTGGCAATGAGTTAGCGATTGATCACCCCTTATGAGAATGAACAGTCTGGACAGTGAGAAGCCCCCAGCTTGCAACAATAGCTCTGCTGCAAGTGCAACCATTGAGGGAATTAGTGGTGAATCGCCTGTTGGGACTGTGAGCCGTCTTCGCGCCTCCACGTTCCCTGGAGATTCTGCTCCGTGGGGACCCATTCCAGACCAGCTCCAGCTTGCTAGAGCTGGGCTGCCAAATATCCTGCAGCAGTGAGAGAGTCTGGAACTAGATGTAAGACATGTTGTCTTACCACCACGATTGACTTTACTGCTGTTTTCAAAACAACCAAATTGTGACAAGAGAATGGCTACTTCACTTGCTGTTGACAAACTCAATTTACTGCTAACCTTGCTGAGTCCTGCGATGGTAAAGGCATGCATTCATCAGTGGATTCTGTTATTGGAAACCTCCAGAGAGGATCCAGAAAAGAGAGCAAAACAGTGACAAATGATGTTTTCTTTAACACAGGTCTAAACACAGGCAAAGTGGATGCTTCTCTTGCCTAACAGTGTGAGGCAGAACAACAGTACTGAAAAAGAGATCCTCAGACATGTGGTTACTGTCATTAGAATTACATTTTTGTCATTCCAAGGCAACAACAAACCGCTGGGGTCAGGGCACAATGGAATTTAATGGGTTCTGCTTAAACTGATAGTAGAGTGTAACCCCTTTTTAAAGGAGCAGGAATCTATTGACTTCACCCACTCAAGCCGAAAGGCATGGCAGACCATCAACCTGCTCTCAGGGAGAAAAACTTCCCGGATGCTGACAAAAACTCCACAAGACTGACCTCATGTGAAGTATCCTCTCTCTCCAGGGCAGCCAGCGCCGATGCCAACCTTTCAGGAGACTTCACTGCAGCTGAACTAAGTGCAGCAATCAACAAACTGAAGCCGGGCAAGGCACCAGGTCGAGACAATATCCATCCAGAGTTTGTCATACACCAAAGCGTAAGAACATCTCGCTGGCTCGCTGGCATCATGCTTCAGGAGGACCAAGATCCCAAAGACCTGGCGCCGTGCTTCCGTCATAGCCTTTCCAAAGCCGAATAAACCAGCCGAAGACCCGAAGTCCTACAGGCCCATTTCACTGCTATGTGTCCCATATAAGATCCTGGAAAGGCTGATTCACAGCCGCATCGAGCCAGTGGTAGACCCACAACTCCCACTGCAACAAGCCGGCTTCCGCCGAGGCAGGTCAACAGTGGATCAGGTAACGCTACTCACTCAGGACATCGAAGACAGCTTTCAGGATAATGAGAAAGCTGGAGCAGTATTCCTGGACCTGACAGCCGCCTACGATACTGTCTGGCACTGTGGTCTACATCTGAAACTGGCCAGACCAGCAGGCTCCAAAGGTTGAAGAACGGGGTCCCACAAGGCTCCGTCCTCTCACCAATGTTGTTCAACATCTACATTCACGACCTGCCAAAGACAACATCTAGTAAGTACGGCTATGCGGACGACTTGGCCATCATGCTTAGACAACCAACATGGAAGGCGATGGAAGATGGTCTCAACCGAGACATGGGCATCCTGGCAGACTACCTCCAGAAGTGGCACCTCCAGCTCAGCATGGGCAAGACAGTGTCGGCAGCTTACCACCTCAACAATCGGGAAGCAAGAAGGCAACTGGCCGTGTATGTTGGCAACAACCGCCTGGAGTTCCAACAAGCCCCCAAGTACCTCGGCGTACGCTTGGATCGGACATTGTCCTACAAGCAACACCTGGATGAAGTGAAGGCCAAGGTTACAGCTAGGGTCTCGCTCATCCGCCGCCTGGCGGGTTTGACTTGGGGAGCTTCCCCCCAGACCCTACGCATATCCACACAAGCCCTGGTCCTACCCGTAGGCGAATACTGTGCCCCTGCCTGGAGCAGAAGCCCTCACGTGAATAAGATAGACACTGCCATCAACAGCACCCTCCGGATAGTAACTGGTTGTCTGAAACCCACCCCCGTGTCTCACCTGCCAGTCCTCGCTGGAATTGCTCCGACCAGTCTCCGACGGGATGCAGCTACCCTCGCCCTGGCAAGAAAAGCCCAGAAGTACGACTGGCACATCCTGCACAAAGCCACAACAACACCGGCGCCACCATGCAGGCTCAAGTCTCGCCATCCCTACACCAAGGCGGCACAAGATCTGCTACAGTCCATTCCTGAGGACTTGTCCAGAGACGCCTGGCTGGCAGCATCCTGGAAACAGATTTGGGAGCCGGCTGGGCCCTCCCGCATCCACCGATACATCCAGCACCCAGGTGGCAGTGTAAAAGGAGAAGACCTACCACGCCATCTATGGACCTCGCTGAACCGTCTACGCACTTGGGTCGGCCGCTTCAAGTCATCTCTGATGAAGTGGGGCCTATTGGACAGTGCGGCATGCGAGTGTGGCGAGTCTGAACAGACTGCCGAGCACATAATCACCGGCTGCCTCCTATGCAGCCCACCCTCAGAATCCGGCCTCTTTGACTTAGGACCGGAGATGAGGGCATGGTTGCACGACATGGAGTTGGCCATCTGATGATACATGAAAGAAAGAAAACGAGCACACTGAGGAGCATGGCAATCAGGGTAGAGGTAGCCCTCCTACTTGTCCTCAACTGTATGTGAAAAATTCATTCCATTGTATATTTTTGCCAGATTCATGCTGATGTGTTTTTATACATAGCATGATATGTGAGTGAGTAGCCTTGGCAAGACACAGTAGCCTTGGCAAGACACAGTGTTTTATTTACTAGGATTTGCACTATAACCCTATAAATTCATCAAGCCAGACTGAAGACTTTTGCATCTGAAGATCACAGTTTTTTTATACTCATCTCCTCTATGTTAGTTTGATTTGTTGGTGAGTTGTAAAGAGCTGAACTGGGCAGAGAGTCACAGTGTGGGTGCAAGTTAGGTGTCAACTTTTGATTAGGACCGATAAAAGGAAGAATATAGGTCAATGCAGCAAAGCTTGGAACTCATTCTAGGTGCTGGTCCAAGCCTTTTGTGTCCCTTATGCCTTTTATTGCATGCATTCATGCACAAATTGAAGATATAAAAAAAGAACTTCTCTACCCGGAGGCACGGTGGTGCAGTAGTTAGCATTATTACTTCACAGCAAGTGAAGTAATAATGCTAATGCTCACACTTTACTATACAGAATGCCATTTAAACACACTGGGAGTGTGAGTTGTGGGTTCACTCAAAAGTCACAGATCTGTTATACAACTGTATAAATAAGTCTTGTTTTTTTCATGGAAGTTGTAATACAGAAGTGCTAACATAAATGTTGTTGTCCTGTCACCTGTCATGGGGTCCACAGAGAAGTATGGCTGGCCTTGAAGGATGCTGTAGACAATACGTGCACTGTTGCCATATGTGGGGTCATCTGCATCTGTGGCAGTCACCTGTGTTACATAGGTTCCTGAGCAAACACACACACACACACACACACACACACACACACACACAAACACACAGGTTATGTATTTATAGGTTTCCCTTCTTAACAAAAAAATACAATAAATTTTCTTTTTCAGCAGGGCACATTATGAAGCACATTATGGCAGTGGCGTGACAAGAAATACAATAAATCTTCCTTTGTATTGGGAATCGAAATCTCAAGTAAATAGTCTTGTTATTTTAGGTAAAGGACACACATTAAATCATTAAGTTTTTAGGAGAAAACAAAAGGTAATGTTCTATTAATTTATACATCTCAGAGTATTACTTTTTTTGAGATAATGAGGTATTTTTTATCATGTTAGTGTGTGTACCACAGGTGCTGTCATCTTGGCTGATGCAGTGTCAGATCCTGGAGATTAATTTATTGATCATCAGTGCATCAGAACATGTAATAACACCTTGTTTTACATACACTTGTTTCAGTGTGCTTACCGTCATTCACCTTAGCACAATATGTGTAAGGAGTACAACAAGTTCTTCATGACTTCTCTGGCAAAAGTAGCACCTGAAGCACCTTATAGGTCAACACAATATTAACATGGAAGAGCAGAATAATGACTGACACAATCATAACCATATTGGTAAAAAATGATTTTGACTGTAAAGATTATCTACATTTATTAATAGCTCAAGGGGTGACAGCTTTGAAAGCATTCTCCTTCACAGCTGTGGCAGTAGACTTGTCAAATGATTAATATACACACAGTTGACTAACAAATCTAACACAATTTACAATTTAAATATGACATTTCTGTAGTATTTATTGTAGCCTACTGCAGCATTGTTTATAACTGCAGATTTGGTTACTGTGCGGCTCATTGTGATTTAGTATGATAGCATGCACCCCTGTGCACAGAACACAGGGGGACTGCTGGATTTTCTGTTGCATTTAACTTTCAGTGGGGATACTGATGACATCACCATCAGGGTTTTATTTCACTAACACTGGCATTAAGATATCAGTTACATGGCATTTAGGTGCCAGCATGGTTTAGATGACAGCTTGGGTTAACGCCAAACCAGTGAGCTTCAGAGAAAAGCTGATTATCCTCCATATGTGTTGCAGATCAGACAATCCCAGGATGAAATAATACTAAATCCAAACAAATGAAACACAGTTAACATCAAATTTTGTTTCTGAAATCATAGAACTCCCTCAAGTTGTCCTCTGAAAAACCTGAACTAACAACATGCAAACAAAGTACATGTACATGAATACACCAAAGGTAAGAATGTACAGTTTTTCAGTGGATTGGGGCTTAGGTATCAAGGTTTATCAGTAGGACACTGGGGTTGTGATTGCATGTGTTAGCATCTTACAGCCATGGCAACAATGCAAAGATCTGGATGTTGTTTGGCACTCTACAATAGACACATGTACGAAACATTTCACATCTATCCAATCTCAGCTTAAATAAATTTGTTTCAAATAATTCTCCTACTTTTGGTTTGTGGCCAAATACCTGCAGAACTAATGACATTTCCATCAGTCTAATACAGTGAAAATGGTAAAGATTATACCTGACCTGATATTAGCATTTAGCAAGCTTTTGCTGGATTACCTATGTCTACAATCTATAGCCGTGACCACTGGAAAAGCACAACACTCCTTTTAGATCATTATTTATTCTCAGTAAATTATCAGAAATTGGTCACAGGTCTGGATGGAAATGTCACTCACTATGGTTCCGGACTGCAGTCTGGCATTTGGTGATGCCCCCTCCAGAAAATACTTGATATACAACTTGATAGCATTTTTTCTTCTTACTGCCTTCTCTGATCCTGATCCTGTTCAGACTTTAAAAAGTTCTATCAGAGCAACAAAACACACTAAACTTTAACTAATGGTAACTTGTAAGTGTTTTCACAGGTTCAGGAGATCTCCATGACAACTGAGCTTCCCATGTGTTCTCATCGCGACTGCTCACATATCACTTCTTTCAGTGGACTTTCAAAATATGATGCATTAGGTATCTTCTTGCATTTGTTGTTGATGTTCTGTGACGCCATGTCAATTTTTGCTTGGAACATGCATTGTATCTTTTCAAAATACACTTATGGTTTCAAAGAAAATGTGCAGTTTCCGCTTGTTAGATGCATACACTCTTTGTCAAAGTAAACATACTATGACAGTAATACACCTGGTATTTATGTTTATTCCCATGTGCAACAGAAGTATGTGGGTCGGTTTAGGGAACAAAAGCATGTGGTCAGATTCAGGCAATAAAAGCACATAGTTAGGTTTCGGGAATAAAAGGATGTGGTTAGGTTTAGGGAACATAAAAAAGGCCAGGTTTAAGGTACATAAGCACGTGGTTAGTTTAAGAAAAAAAAAAAACATCACAGTGTGGCTCTAAATTGACACAGAAAGTGAACAGCGGACTCCTGGGTGAAAGTCTGGGGTTCATTGGACCTGTCCACCCCCTCCCACCTGCCCTATAGGGACTTTCCAGCTCCTTATATTAGATTGTTACCAAAAATGTTTCAAAACTGCCTGGCAGTGTTAAAAACTGACGCTGCCCAGTGGTGTGTCATACTGCCTCAAAAGGTGCCTTTTTGTATCAGTGTCGAATGCCAAAATCACTGACAAAGCTGTGTTATTTGAAGAGTTGCATGAGAATGTGGTGGAGCTTTTTTTTTTTGTAAAACTGGTGGGTTGCCCCTTTAACAAACAGCATAGAGCTTAACAGCTACAATTAAAATGCATATCTTTCGGAAAAAAAAAAATCAGCCCATGACACAAACTTAAACCTATGCAGTCTGAGGCTCATATTCAAAGCATATCAAACACTCTCCGCGAGAAGTCAGCAGCTCCACAGAATACAGCTCTGAAAAGAGAAAACATGGCTGAATCTATTCTTAGCAGTCGATTCCTCATGGATAGAAGTATGTTTTTTATCAAATGGATACTTGCACTGTTCACTACCACAGCTAATCTGCTGCACAGTTTGTTGCTGTATTTCCCTGCAACAGAGACATAATGGGGTCACACTTGTGTTCTCTTAGAGCACTTTGTGCCTCAGCTGAAGCATTAACAGCTTAAGGCCTAAAGACCTTGACTTAAATTACCTCTCAGTAATGGTATTTAGCAGACAGATGGGCCACTAAGTCTGGCTTAGTGTGTGTGTGTGTGTGTGTGTGTGTGCAGCAAATACAACTTAATGAATCCAAGCTAAACCGAGCACTGAGTCGAACCAAAAACCCTGTAAAATAATATTCTGCATATACATTTCAGTAATTTAAATTTCAGGCCACTTTTTTTTCACAAGAATAATCAAAATCTACTGGGCAGATTTCCACAAATTCCACTATCTGATCACAGGTCTTTGCATTTACACCTAGGGCTCTAGTATCGCAGACCGGGCAAGGCGGGGGCGCAGCTGGGTGTGGCCAGGTGGATTTCGCAAGTTTGGCACACCATGCGCGCTGGTGCAGCTACTCTTCTTTCCCACCTCCGTCCCTCCTACCTGCTCAAGTCGGAAAGAGGAAGGAGAGAAGGCATGGAGTGGGTTTTACACACGTCACACCAATCAAATGAGCCCCTCTCCTCGCCCTTAAATGCGCCGCGCGAAGGCGTAATGAGAGTTTACTCAATTCGCCATGGCAGAAGAGAGCCAAACTCCTCCCAGGAGGAAACTGATGTTTTGGTCCGGGAGGTCCAAGCTCGCAGTGTCCGAATATACGGAACTGCGAGCAGACCTCCATGGGCTGATGATGCAAAGGTAGCCTGGGAGGAGGTCACCACAATTGTAAATTAATGTTGCGTTTCTCTCGTGCGTGCGCGCTCTCTCTTTCTCTCTCGCAGTCTCACTCTGTTTCTTTACTTTTGACTTTTCTATGATGGTAGATGCTGAATATATATTCCCTATCTGATGCTGTGGCTGTTTGTGGTTGGCTGAGAGGGATGTGAACTCATTACTTTGCAGCTGTGTTAATCAAATCAAGCTGGGTTTCCATTACGCGTGCCAAGTGTGCCAAACGTGCCAAACGGTGCCAATCCCCTTTGATCTGACATCACATGTGACGGGACAGTCGATATAGAGATACATTTATGTGCTGATTGCAGATAGTTGCATTGAATAGTGATTTTTAAGGGTATTTATTGCATTATTAATGTGCCTGATATTCTGGAAACCTGCCTGTGAGGTTTTGGTGAAGTGTGCGCACTGTCCGCCGGTCAGCCAAACTTCGGCTTACACCGGCTGCGCTCCGCCTGCATTGACAGTAGGCCTGGTTTCAGCTGGCGAGCTTTTAGCGCACCTTCAGCGAAGCCTTTTGGCACTAAACTGTAACTGCGCCAAGCTGGATCTGTCGACACCTCCCCCTGCTGCGCTGCCACACCCATCTCAGCATACCTCGGTCTGCCAAACTACCAAACTGAGTGCGCCTCGGGTTGCGCTGCTTGAAACTAGCTCTGCGCGGGGTTCGCCACCCTGTGCCGCGCCGCGCCGGGAAACTAGAGCCCCTAGTGTCATTAAGCACTATTGTTATCTTGATTGTGTCTGCATTGTATTTAATTCACAGTATAAAAATTAGATAGGTAGCGAGGCAAAGTTTTCTACAAACATGGTGTTTCTTAAGTCAAGGGAAGCCACACTGCTTTTTGGGTTCTATTGGTTTTCACTTAGAGGAAGAGCTTGTCTGTCACTTTTTGACAGAGAACTTGAATTAGGCAGAAAGTCAGGTGACCTTTCAACATGTCAGGTGGATTTATTTTCATATGAATATGGGTAAATTACAGATATTAGTCACACCTCCCTGAGATTCACACCACCTCCAGGTTTGGTGTGGTTGTTAAATTTGTATTCAGATTGGGGTTTTCTGCATGTATTTACACTTGCAGTGACATGTTTTTACTTATCCACAGGACGTGTCCAGATTCAGATCACATATGTTAACTCCAAGTACAAATGGGGTATTACTGAGATTAATCATGCTACTGAGAGGATAAGAAAGTCTGAAGTGTTCATATTTTGTTTAGAAGCAGCCATCACAAAGATGCGGCAGTGCACATTTTCATACTGTCTCTCTTGGAGGTCGTTTATAGCATTGCACTTGGTTGTTCACATGAAAAGGGACAGAAAGACCCATGTGAAGAATGATTAAAGGAGAACTAGAAAGAGAAGTTCAGACCCTGGTCCCTTTTCATCTCTGCAAAGCTGGCCAATCACTGCATGAGGACGGTGTGAATTTTCGGCTTCAGAATGTTTCAGACATTCCAGAGATTCCGAAGCTGTTTGACCATCCGACAAGAACTTCTGAAGATGCGCACTGGAGTTTAATCCTTTTTGAATTTTTTGAAAAATGTGACCTTGTGGAAAAAATTGACTTGATCATGGTGAATTTAAGTTAAAAAAAAATTAATTTTGAAATACCGGTACATACAGTATATGGTACAGAACATTTATAGTTAAAATACTTCAAATTAGTTTCTGGTCTAATTTCTATTCATTTTCTAAAAGTACAGCAGCAATTAAAAATAAAAGCCATGAATTCAGCCAAAGTCAAATGTCCTGTATCTTATGACTCCTGACCTCCTTCTGGAGTGCTTGTGATGGTGATCGTCTACTGAATCCTATCCTGCTCATAATATCCAAGGAATTCAAACAAGAGCAAGTACTGTGGATGCTTGATGGATTCTACTGCATCCTTTCATTGTGAATCAGACAGTTAACTTCAGGCAACAAAACTTCTTGATTAGGTTTTTTGTTTGTTACATAACATAACATAATTATGTGAGTGACGTCAGTGCTCAACAAATCAAGTAATGTTACGTCAAAACTACACCGACCTTTTTCACATGGCTTATGAATTCTGAAGTCCTGGATAAAAGTCCTGTTTGTGTGACCCATCCACCTCCCCTCCCGCCCACCCAGATTTTATTACTCTATACATTGAGTCAGTTGCTTTAGGCGTCAAGTATTGCTGCAGGTGGTTGCCACTGGAGTGAGCTGAAAGTCCGGTCAATCTCATAAAGATGTTAAAGCGTGTCATTGTATCAATTCACAACACACAGAAAAATGGTTCTTAAGCATAGGTTGAGGTGCTAAATACCACGGCTGCTACACAAAGATCTTTTTAAGCCCCTGTGTGGTAAGAATAAAAACACTACAATAACACAGCCTACAAACAGTGTATTTCCAGAGGATAACACATTAAGGTGATGACTCTCAACCTTTTTGCTCCCATGTGCACGATAATATTGTGCAGCTATGAAAGGTTTGTAACACATTGTATTTCCCAGCAAGCATTTAGTACAGGACTCAGAATTTGTTATGGTACCATTTCTTAAAAAATGATTAATAATAATTCATATTTAAGTAAAAATATAATTTAGAAGCATATTGACTCTCCATGGATTTATCTGGCATCATTCAAGGGCTCCCAGGCTCAAAAATTATAAGCAATATACTGCTATATGGTTCTATATAGCACTATTTGACAAAGGTTTTGCATAGCACCTTTAAAAGATGGTTGCCATATGGCAGAAAAATAGCTAACCCCATGATAATACATTCCTACCTGTTGGAGCCATCTCAGGGACACTGGCACTGTAGGGACCATCAGCAAATCGTGGCTCATTGTCATTGATGTCCTGCACCTTAATGATGAACTCAGACTGCGGCTCCAGAGGGAGGCCTGTGTGGATGTCACCAGCCTGGGCAGTAAGTGTGTAGAAGGACTTTTGCTCCCTGTAAAATATCACAGAATAGATGTACGTACATGCACTAATATTAATGCGGCACAGTGGTGATCAGTGTGGATGATGACAAATATGAAAACAAACAGTTTATTTTGGATGGTAATGCTGACGTGACTTGGTAATGTAATAATATTACCTGAAATTCTGTTGGTAACATGTTATATTAATTCTTTACAGCTAATATATGTAATGTATAATGGTATGGTAACACTTTACTTTTGTAATGCATTACAGTAATATATTACATTAACTTTTGTAACACATCACCCCCAATACTGATACTCAGCATATAGCAACACGTTGTATATTGCAATAATATTGTGCTTAATTACTGTACACATGACTTAAGTATGGTGATAATATAATACCGTGGGGCCTCTGATGATTCCCACCCCTACTAGATAGCTCGTCAGGGGGTTCTATGTTCCCCGCTTACCACTCAAAAAGGTTCTATGTTTCCCGGGTTCTATGTTCCCCGCTCAACCAAAACAGGTTCTATGGTTCCCGCTTGGTTGAGCAGGGAACATAGAACCCGGGAAACATAGAACCTTTTTTGTGTAAGCGGGGAACACAGAACCTTTTTTGCAGGGTTAAGTGGGGAACATAGAACCTGGGAAACATAGAACCCGGGAAACATAGATATGGTCCTGCCAGCCAGCATATTAACAACACAGTCCAATGTTGAAAGAACAAAGTATATGTACCGTGAGCTAGTGAACAATTACACAAACCATCAGGAAATGTTTCTGCTAAAAAGCTCAGGGGATAAAGAAAAATAATCTGACCTTATAAAGCAAGTTTGTTTTGGTCTTACTCCCTCTGGACATTAGCTCTTTGTTTGCTTTCCTCACATCTGTTTCTCTTTTCGTCCGCTGAGCTGAACTGCCACTCAGAATTTTCCTAACAATTTTTCACTTTATTTGAAGAGTACAGTGCATATTAATGAACAATAGGTACAAATACATGACGTCATGTAAATATGTAAATATGAATGATGTCATTCACCAACAGGCTGTGCTGCTGTCACAGATTCAACTTGCTGTATCGGCCAAAATAAGGAGCCGATGGGGGCAAACAAGAGGCAACAGTGCAGGACACACCACACCGACTAGGGTGACAGATGCTCACCGTTGGCCCAACACTGAGTGATGGCCAATCGTCGGCTTGGTGTGTCAGGGCCTTTACAGTAAAACATTGCTAATAGCCCATTCCAAGACTAAGAGCATCACGTGCTGTTACTCCTATAATTTTTGCATTGACTGCCATGTAATAACAAGGAGCACATTATTACGGCCCAAACACCAAGCACAGGCGGATGCAAAATCAAACTTTAATTAAATCAAACTTTAACTTGACAAAAAAAAACTTTATGTCGGGGCTTCAGGACACTCGGATCACTACGGATGAGCATGTTGGAGATACTTTGTGGTCTCAATTTTGTGTTCTTGGACGTTAGTCTGGGGCGCCGTCAGCCATTAGGTGTGCTAGCCGCTCCCCCCGCCGATCTCTGCAAGGGATGTGAGGACTCTAAAACTTCACCAAGGCCTCCCTCGGCATGAGGGTGAGTAGATAATGGATGAATTTTCATTTTTGGGTGCACTATCCCTTTAAGGATTTAGAAAAAAATAAGATTTAAAGATTAAAAAGAAATAAATTTAAAAAAAATTGAAGATTTAGAAATTTAATAATAATAAAATGCATAAAGATTTAAAAATAAATAATTTGATAAGATAAGAGATTAAAATAAAATATAACAGAAGAATTAAAAGAGTAAAAGAAATCAGTTAAAAGCCAAACTAAAAAGATGAGTCTTGAGCCTCCTTTTAAAACCATCAACAGTCTCTGCAGCCCTGATGCTCCCCGGCAGGCTATTCCATAAGTGAGGCCCATAACGGCTTAATGCAGCCTCCCCATGGGTTTTTGTTCTTATTTTTGGAACGATTAAAAGGCCGGTGCCGAAGGACCTCAGGATCCGCAAGGGTTGATATGATAAAAGCAGGTCAGATAAATAAAATGGCCCAAGACCGCTAAGACATTTAAGCCCGAAAGGACTTTGTGAGCGACTTTGCAAGCACAGTGTGAAACAATACACTGATCACGAAGAATATAGTGATGTTGCACATCAAATTAAACAGCAGAACCTGGGCTACAAGGCTGTAAAAACCATTTTTACATGCCCTAAACACAGCTCAAACAACAACTAAATAAACAACAACAAATCCAACTCCATACAGCACCGATATTCTGACCCACTCTGTATATTTCGGGCTCTAACTCGACCACACGTTATGCAAAACACACTCCGTTCATCTCAAATGAAAGCTGAGACTCCGCTGTTTCCACACATATGCACCAAAGCACTCTACCCTAAAGCATCAGAGAGATAGAGGCCAAAGAAAAACAACAACAGAAATCTTTTCGCCAAAATGTATTTGTAGTATCTCTCTTACCTTGTTGTTTTTGCCGTGAAAAGCTCATTCTGCCATTAAATCACGCTTCATTCCCGTTTACCGACTTCTTGTCCGTCATTCAAATGAATCCGGGTGGAAAAACTTGATGGCCGGAGGTTGCGGGGGAAGCATAACAATGACCACTCACAGCAGCCGACATCTCCCCACAATGCATTCTGCTGACTCTGATTGGCTTACAGTGCTGTCAATCTTGTTTTGGTGGGTATAGCGTCATTCTATTGGCTCTAATGAATCAAACAAGGTGTCAATCACTTAAATCGGCCAAGCCGTCACAGAGATATGGCCTCCAAAGCTCAGAATAGAAACTCAGTTTCAAATGTAGTAGGTGTGTATTGGTCAGTTTGGAGTGGGAAATGGAGGAAAAAAATGAAACGGACAGTTGTATGTGTATATGAACATCATTAGGGATTTACAGAAACAAAAAATGAAAGATATAGGATTGTACATGACAAAAATCACATGCAAACATGGTGCAATTTTGGAGAGCTCGTCTGAATTGTCTGTACTGAAACCTCTCTAATATTGTTCTGCTTCACTTTATCAGAATCAACCTTTGCAGATTTAATGTTCACATATTGTACTATGATTTGATAGGGGTTTAGAGCTGCAGCTGCATCATTCCAAAGGGATACTCATCCTGAAAATGTTTTTTTTTTTTTTTAGGCGAACCTCAAAATGTTTCATTTGTGCTGTGTGCCATCTTCATTTACTCTTCACATATAACACATACACTGATATTTACACATCTTAACAAATCTCACAAGTGTTCCCTTTACCATGACACCAAAAGTATTCAAATAGACCTTGTGGTTGCAGAGATATATTCATTTCATTATGGGTATGCAATTTTTGAGATGAGGCCTATAAAATAGGCTAAGCTTTGAAAAGGTTAAAAACTAATAAAAGAACCTTAAAATTGATCCTGAAACACACGGGGAGCCAATGCAGTGATCTTAAAACCGGTTTAATGTGCACCCACCCTCTGGTCTTTGTCAGCACTCGTGCAGCTGAGTTTTGGAGTAGCTGCAGATTAGAGATGGTCTTTTTGGGAAGGCCAGAGAGCAGGGCATTACAATAATCTAAACGACAAGAGATAAAAGCATGCATTAACACCTCTGTGTTAGCCTGAGAGAGAAACTGGCGGACTCTGGCTATATTCTTAAGATGATAAAAACCTATCTTTGTTACATTTTTTATATGTGGAATGAAATTAAGTCAAAAATGACGCCCAGGTTCTTCACACATTGTGAAGGTTTAAAATCTTGTAGTTTTGATAAAAGTTTCTCTCTCTTGCCTTAAGGGCCAATAATTAAAACCTCTGTTTTGTCCTGGTTGAGCTGTAGGAAATTCACTGCCATCCATGACTTGATATCTAAAATGCAGTTAAAAAGGGTATCAATTGGACCTGTGTCATCAGGAGACACAGCGATGTACAGCTGTGTGTCATCTAACTGTAACTGTGGAAGCTGATGCTGTGCCTCCTGATGACGTCCCCAAGGGAAAGCATGTATAGATTAAAAAGAACTGGACCTCCTGGAGGACGCAGAAAAGCCCTTTTGAAACTTAAAAGGATAGTGCACCCAAAAATTAAAAATTGGCCATTATCTACTCACCCATATGCCGAGGGAGGCTCTGGTGAAGTTTTAGAGTCCTCACATCCCTTGTGGAGATCCCAGGGGGGCGTGGGGAGCAGCACAACTCCACCTAATGCAGGCTGACAGCGCCCCAGATTAAAACGTCCAAAAACACATAATTGAAACCATAAAATATGTCCATACTGCTCATCCGTAGTGATCCAAGTGTCCTGAAGCCCCGACATAAAAAGTTGTTTGGAAAAACGTCATTTGAACTCTGTTTTTTAATCTGGGGCACCGTCAGCCTGCATTAGGTGGAGTTGTGCTGCTACCGGCTGCTACCCACTCCCCCCTGGGATCTCCGCAAGTGTTGTGAGGACTCCAAAACTTCACCAGAGCCTCCCTCGGCATGAGGGTGAGTAGATACTGGCTAAATTTTCATTTTTGGGTGCACTATCCCTTTAAGGAATTAAGCAATTATCATTAATGAATGAACTTTTTGAGGCTTAAAGGTGCTTTGATCCAACTCTGCACACATATCAGAACTGAAGAAAATTTTGATATTTCACAGGTCTCTTTGTAGAGTGTTAAAAAACTGGCTCAGTATTGGCCCATCCACAACATCAATAAGGTAGCCCCCCAGCATGTTTCACCTAAGTTTACAAGACTGGGAGGCACATGTACAAAAAAAATCCCTTGGAGCCATAACCTTAACCCAACAGGAAGTCAGCCATTTTTTATTTACTGTGCAATTTTCGTGCATTTTTTTTTTTTTTGCCTTCTACAGGGATCATACTTCAACAAACTCCTAGAGTTTCATCTAATTTACTTAAAATTTGGTCCATCCCATCTAAAAGCCTTTGAGATCAGAAGTTGTTGAAAGGTTGAGTTTTCATCCAACCGTTCGACCATGGTGAAGCATCAAATTTTGATGTTTCTCTACAAAACAAGAAGTGGTGTGTAACCCCATTGCACATGGTCCAATCTGCTCCAAACTTCATATATTTGAAAGGAGTCACTGCCTGAAGACATTTTTGGCCACAGAGTTGCAAGACCTTGATGATGCTTACTTGTGAAAATTCTAAGTTTACCTCAAACAACTTTGCCATAGCAATGGCTTATTTGCCTTGAAACAGGAAGTTGTCCTAACTTTCTTGTACCTTGTCCAGTCTGCCCCAAATTTCACTTGTTTTATAAGGCTCCAGACCTGAAGGCATCAACAGACTAGGTGTCATTGCGCCACTTACTGGCAACAGGAAACAAATGTTGTCTGATAATAATCTTATGGAACACCCTGCCTTTAAATATTAGACTTGCTTGCTCAGTGGACAGTTTTAAACAACAACTCAAAACATACCTTTTTTAACATAGCCTATAACTAGCAACTATCTGTTTTAATATTCTTAATTGTGTGTTTGTGTATATGGTTTCTTTTTTTACTTATCCTTCTCTTTTCTCCTTGAATGAGTGTTATTGAGTGTATGATTGCATGATTTTATTTCTTTGCCGTTTGTCTCTGCTGTCTAAATTGTAAAACCCCTTGTGCTGCATTTTATGCATGAAAGGTGCTATATAAATAAAGTTCATTCATTCATTATTTCATTCATTTTGATCTTCACTGGTGTGGTCTACAATTGATATACAGCAACATTAGTTTAATTAGTGTGTTCTTCAGCGCCACACAGTGGACACCAGAAGTGGTATGCAATGTGAAATAGGTCATTCCAATGTCCATGCTCTATGTAGGATAAACCATCTCACTACTGCATGTTTGACTTTCACAGAAATTAACAGCCCAATTAGCCACCCTCCTGCCAGGACCCCCAGCATGGGCAATAGTGGGAGGGCCTGTTCATTGCTGTCTGCAGCCTTAATTCATCTGTCACTAAACTGTCACAGTGGCCTCAGTGAACTCTATGGCACAATATGTAATCTCTGTAATGTAGTTTGTTTATTAGATACCAGTCATTTCTCTATTAGAACATTGCACTTCAGACATTACTTCTGTATTGTTATTATTATTGATAGTACTGACCTGTCAAGCCCCACCAGTGCGTGTATATCTCCTGTAATTTGATCAATGGTGAAGATGGACCCAGCTCCTTCTCCTGACAGAGTGTACTTGACAGCATTGTGTCCATGGTCCATGTCTGTGTGGAGCTGCAGGAGGGAAAAGTACACAGAGACACAACATTTAATCTTATAGCTCCTTTATGTGTTGGTGTATCTGGTTCCAACTACAGCAGCAATCAGTAACAATTAAATGTGATTTATTGTTAAAGTCAGTGGGGTCAGTAATAATGTGTAAAACACAAGATGTGGTTCACCACGTTTTCAGCAATTGATATGTTCATTTTTTCATGTTCTTTATAACAAACCTTCATACACCTGAGAGGCCAAAAATGTATTTACACTTGGGAGGAATCTCCTAAAGATGGCTAAGCAAGGCAAGGTAGATTTTAAATGCCAATTAAATAAACAAGGACAAATGAGAGATTTGTGAGGGAGAACTGGAGGAGTGCTCTTTTGTTATCACTGATGTCTTAACAAACTTCCAGAATAGAGGAGTGAATGTGAATCAGATGGCAGTTGTGGGGATGTTCCCTAATGTTGTCAGCACTGTCAATCAGATGTGATCAAAGCACAGCCACACAGTCCTGATGCAGCATATTAACTCAGTTTCTAAATGTTGAACTCTTTAATAATAACACCTAAGTCTACTGTCAATGGTTGTGTTTCAAAGTGTGATCTAGCAACAGCAGTACAAACTAGCAGCTGCTGCTAATGATTCTGACAAGAATGAGACGGATGAAGGCATAGACCTTGACATATGACCACCAAAAACTAACCAGCCCCAATATCATCAATATGTTTGCTGACAAGATAACTGTCATCGGCCTGTTCATTGACCATCATCAGCCTGATCACTGACCGTCATCACCCTGGTCACTGACCATCATCGGTCTGATCTCTGAACTCACTGGGGTTATTGTTCTCAGCCCCAAACAACTCAGAAACTCTTTATCTGATGATATAGTTTCTCTGGATGGCATTGCTCTGGCTTCTAGCACTAAGAAACCTCGGAGTAACATTTGACCAAGATTTGTCTTTTAACTCCCATTCAAAACAAACCTCATGCACTGCGTTTTTTCATTTGCGTAACATTGCAAAAATTAGGCCTATCCTGTCCAGTGCTGTGCTAGTTACTGAAAAATAGTAACTAGTTACCGTTACTAGTTGCTTCATTAAAAAGTAACTCAGTTAGTAACTCAGTTACTTAAACCAAAAAGTAATGCGTTACTGAGAAAAGCAACTTTTTTGTAAAATAGTTTGCCCAGATACAAGGGGTCATCCACAGGATACATACATGCTAATCACATGACACATACTGCAATTGTTTCTAATAAGGAACATTTTGAAGGGTTTGGGCCTCATGACATATAGACTCAATATATAAGTGGCCTGCTGAGGAGCAGTAAGGCGCCACGGTCATATCGTGTTTATGCATGTAGAATCTACATCCAGAACATAAATTAAAATAAAGACTGATTAGACTTTAAACTAAGTGTTGTCCTGTGTTGTCTTAAGTGATGTTGTTTGTTTTGTGTTGTTCTGAGTGCTCATTAAACAAACGGTGATAGATCTCTCGGATGATGTACTTGTTCCTGTCGCTGTTGTCAGAGAGAACTTTGAATTGGTCTTATTAGCCTTAGAGTGTGTGTGAGGGGGAAAAGCTATTTTTAGATGGGGTCATTGCAGGCTGTGAAGCTGGAAGGGTCGCTGAGAGAGAAGCAGTGCCTTTAACTGATGAGCAAATATTGAGTTTTATGAGGGGGAGATTTGATTATTATTCTGGATTATAACATTCAATAGAAAGCATGGTGACACAGAGGCTCCCTGTGTTTTGTCTTAGTGTACAGTATGGCTGATAGCCATTGCATGCAGGATATTTGTCAAAAAAAGGGGAAAAATTTATAATTCAGTTGAAATTGGGAAAAATTTAATTAAATCCTCCATGGTCCTCTATTTAGTTTAGATCATAAACTATATAAAATAATGGACGTAGTCACTGTAACGTCACCCATCCGTTTCTGAAGAGTGGATTTGAAGCTCAAAATACTCCACTCTGGACGTCGCCATCTTGGCAGTGCCTGACTCCGCCCAACTCCCGGCCAATCAAAAATGGGCAAAGAGGCGGGCGGAAGGTAGCCCAGCTGCTTAAACATGCCCACCTCGCTCAGCGCTGCTAAGTTAGCTAAGGCTAACAAGCTAGGCTAAAAAGCTACAAGGCTAAGAAGCTACACTACTTTGGCTAGCCCTGTGGTGTTGACTGCTCCCACTTGATGCCAGCTCCCCTGCAGCTCCCTCACGAAACTTGAGGTAAGTTGAGTTTAGCTGAAACTAACGTTATACAACAAACCTTGAAATAATGAATCATGTTATCTTAAAAAAACGCTTCAACTTTTTTTTAAATATATAACGCTAATTATTTATTACACTCATTTTACTTTCATATGCAGTGTGGAGCATTGGTGACAGCTATGTCCGGCGTGGTGTCCAGAGAGCTGCAGAGACCTTGGGAAGCACCCTCAGCATGCTGGGTGTCCGTGTCTGCTGGTTTGGCTGGGGTGGATTGCAGTGGAGAGGCCTTCTCTCCTTCCCACTCCCTGCGAGGAAGAGCAGCACCAGATGTCCTCATCCTCCACTGTGGCGGCAATGACACGGGGAAGGTCAGCAGTGTCAAGCTGGTCAGCATTGATGAAGGAGGACCTGCACCAGCTTCACCTCCAGCATCCTGGCATTAAGATAATATTTTCTTCATTGGCCCAAAGGAGCAGGTGGGAGGCTGGTGGCAATCCAGCAAAGATTGATAAGGCCAGGAAATGTGTTTACAGTGTTATGGCTACATTTGTTCATAGTTTAAATGGCGCCATAATTGAGCACCCTCACATCAGACACATTCATCTCACACCTAGGAGAAATTATATGTTTTTAAGTAAATTAGTTAATTGTCTTAAAGACCACCTCCAAACGCAGTGAACTGCTTACTGTTGGCAGTGTCACTGCTTTTGAATTTGGCCTTTAGGACACATTCTGTTCGGCCTGATCATAGCCCAGGCTGTCATGGCTAATGTTGAGTTTTTGATATTCATACTACTTGATACTTGTTTAAAATTTCAATAAATTCTATTTATATTTGCACTACTTTTGTCTTTGTTACTGACTGAATGTTATATTTCACAATCAAATCTGACTGTCAATTGAAAGGGCAAACAAATCATACACTACAGATAAAACATTAAGCATTAATGTTTAACATTGTCACTGACAAAAAATTAAGCAGTCCATTTCTGTGTGGGCCTGATTATTTTAACTTTGTACTTAGAGATAATTTAGCACCTTACACCCAGCAGCAGAGCCTGAGAAGATTTTGGAGAGTAACCTTTGTTTGCTGCTCTGTTAGAAGTCTAGTTTTAACACAGAAGAATGTGACTGGATAAAAGGGCTCAAAGTGAAAAACAAACAATTAGCTGGACACAATAGTTTTGAAGCCCCCAAGGAGGTATCACTTGTTGCTATGTTGCCAACTCTGAGAGGGTCTTCCTCAGGCAAAGGTATTGTGACGTTTTTATAGTGAGGCAAACAGACTGATAATCAGCCAATTACGTGTTGTTGTTTTTTTTAGCCTCACTATATAAGCCTCAATACCGAGCAATACCCACAGAACCTTCTCATATGTCACAACGTCACAGATAAATAAAACCTCCTACGGGACTTAAAACTTTTCAGTGTGCAGATATTCCCTTGTTTTTCACAAAAGGAGAAGAGTTTTTCAGTGAATTTTCTTCATTTGTCTTAAAGAAATGTCCAAAAAAAAAACAGCACATAACATCAGCTTTTCTTTTTTTTTTTTTTTTTTTTACATTCTGCTAAGATAAATGCAAACTTGGGTAAATGCTAAGACATAAATGAAATTATTACAATGCCATTAATAACTATTATATTTTGTTAAAGCTTTAAATCACCACTATATTTCCAATCATCACAGGAAACTGATGAAAGACAGATCTTTCTGATGATGTCTGATCCACTTTATATCACAAAAATTCTAACCATTGCACAAACAGTTTAACAAAATTAAGTCAAAGCTTGCATTCATGAAAACATCCATATTAAAAAGTTACAAAAACTACACATGAAATAAATGGAAAGATTTATAACAGTGATTATAAAACCTACAAATTAGGACCCAGTGTCATAATTTGCAAAATCTTAATTTCTTGTAAAGATAAATATCTAATCTTGAGTAAATATCACATTGGTGTCAAGTGTCCTACATGAGAGAAAGATGACAGGTTAAAAACACAGGTAGAAAACACTGACTACAGCCTGTCTTGGTTAAAAGCCCACTCACCACCAAAATGATCTAAATGCTGAGTAAGTGGCTGTCATTAATAAAATAGTTTTGTGTTTAAGTTCTGTAGATACTCAACTTTATATTTGAATGTGATTTTAAATTTAACTGTACTACCAAGACAACTGGAGTATGAATGTACAATATGCAATTCATCCACATTAAAATAATTGTTGCTATCAAAAGGAAACTGAACTGTTATCAAAGCTCACTGCCACTGTGGAATCATGCTATGTTCAGCTGTCTCATTATGAGAATATTTTTTTCCACTGGTTCTTCACAGACTGTGTGTGGGGAAAAAGGTAGTAATTCTCACTTTGATAAAGGGTCTTTGCATAAAAGGCACTAAAATGTTAAAGTTGGTAAATACATGTCATGTTCCTTGATTGATAAAATCTTCATTTGGCCTTTTGCATCATGGGAACACTAAACTGCACTGGTGTGTCAGTAAGTTCAACTTATCAGTAATAGTACGGAGCAAGCTGTGCCCTAATCGAGTACTTAGTAATGTATGACAATTAGTAATTTATGTAATGCATTTAAATGTATTATGGACAATAATTCATAATTTTAAACTAATAAGTTGCTTGACTCTTTGTGAGGTACTGTATGAAAAAAAAGGTGTCTTTATCCTGGAGTCAGTGCCGAAGTGATGACTCTCAAAGTGTTCACTGCACAGATGGGAAGTCTTGTTTGGAGTCCAGTTCTGTCTCCTCCTGTTGAGTGTCTACTGGTCCAGTCTGTC